GTCGGCGCGCTTTTGACATCTCGGTTTTAGCGCCGCGGTGTTGTCGGCGCGCTTATGACGTTCACGCTTTTGTCGGGTCACGACACCTTCAAGTGGCATATATTACATTTGGCAAGTTTTAGAACACACAGTTATGATATAAATGAAAAATTACCTGTGATTTATAATTTCTACTGTTCCATACTGTTCTATCCAGAGCTTGCCAATAATTACATTATGTACACAACAGGTAGGATTAGTCCAAGTGAAAGCTTCATGGTGTCTGTAAGTGAAGGAGAAAAGGTTGATCAGATGCTTGGAAAATAAAATGAAAGGTGGGGGGGAAGTATTTGAAACGACTGTTATCCCACTCCATCATTTAATGCACACTTGCTTTTTGCACTGCATGCTTGAGCCTGGAGCGTGTACAATGTGCACAAAAAGGCTGCTAGAGAATATAAAAGGAAAATAAACAGATTTGTTTTTATTTTTCCTGATGACATTAAAAAAGAGATTGAAAACCTGGTAACAGGTTGAGGTCCTCAACGTACAATCATACCAGTAGTGACCATTCCAAGTTACAACAGACAGAAAAAAGTGACCTATGGCCATTTTTCACCCTTACGACTGTTGCGCGTCCCCACGATCATGTGATCAAAATTTGAGTGCTTGGCAACTGGCATGTATTTATGACGGTTGCAGTGTCCCAAAGTCACTTGATCACCATTTGTAACCTTCCCAGCTGGCTTCCAACAAGTAAAGTCAGTGGGGGAAGCCAGATGATGCCAGACTATGGCAGAGAAGGTCGTAAAGCGGAACAAAACTAACTTAACTGTCTTACTTAGCAACAGAAATGTTGGGCTCAATTGTGATCATGAACCAAGGATAGGTTGTACTGTCCCAGACTTTGAAGTAACATGATGATAAACTGTAAGATTCACTTATAGTCAAAAATCACTTGTTGACATGGGGGACTATAGAAATTGACCAAATAAATATATAAGATTTGATTTTGTTTGGTGTTTTGCTTTGCAAATTTCTATGGGTTTTTTTAGTTTATTAATCATGATTTTACTGATGTGAAGCTCCTAGACTACCTAGACTTTCCCTAAATTTTATGTAAATAACTATAACATTAAATAAAACTGAAAGCAAACTAGTTTTAAAACCAAAATATGAACATTAACAATGAAGAAAAAAATGAACAAGATGAAAATAATAAGTATCACTTTAAAACATTATTTTGTAGTTGATTGGAAGGAAGGGATATCATTTTTTTAAATTACTTAATAATTTGAAAAGATTGCTGGGATTTTTAACAGCTTCACACTGTAGGCAGGTTGGGCTAAAACAGAGGATACAAACAAGGGATTTTACTGGTTTTTACTAAACCAAATTCTTACATTCCTAAGAGCACCAACACCCTTTACATTTTTGAAACTTACTCTCTCGATAGGATTTCAGCAAAAATAAAATCCTAGAATTGACAACATACACTTAATGTTTAGCAAAATATTTCCTTGTTCTACCAAAGAGAGAACATCAGCCACATCAAACAAAGCCTAAATTACATACTAAAAATGTTTCATTCCCTCCTTCTCCACCTTTTATATCCCACATAAAACCTGAATCACAAATATTCCTTCACTGGAGTAAAAGACATACAAGCAAATTAACAAAGAAAATGACACTTTAAGAGGACGCGGCATTAAAAAGAAAAGCCAGTCAAATATTTATTTCTCATTATGAATTAGGCCAATTCACTGAAATGTGGTGTTTTTAGGGGATCCTTGGTGGTCTCTGAACTTGATTGTTTTCTTGAAGATGTAACCTCACCAGTGCTAGTAAGAAGTGGAGTTTGGTCTCAACAACCAGCAATCAACATCCAGATGAGCAAAAATTAACTCAAGATTACCATCAGATCAACAATAAAGAAATAAACAATACCCCAATCAAGAAACTGCCAATGAAGCCAAAAGTAAACAGCCCAACAAGTAAACAGCCCAACAAAAAAACCTCAAACCTCCCCAGGGCAAGCCACTAGAATATAAACTGAGAGCAACCCCCCTTCTCTACTAGCACTGATGATGTTACCTAGTTGGGATAATGAAACGTCTGCAATCAAGCCCAGAGAGCACCAAAGAACCATCATTTTAACCCTGAGCTACAAATATTCTCACTTGTTGTGATATTTTTATCTGTCCCTTTTCATTATGCAGTTGTGGATGATACTATTGTCTTCAAAATTCACAATTGATGTACAAACAGTGGATGGCTTAGAATCTCTCTGTATGCTTGCTAATGTCCCAAAGCTGCTTTTTCAGGAAGCAACTGGACTTTCTTGTTTTTTTCTTTCGAAGACATTTCGCTTCTCATCCAAGAATCGTCTTCAGCTCTGGCAGGATGGTGGAGAATGGAAGGATTTAAATTCCTTGCAGACAGCTGGTAATCTGAATCCTTTCAGAGCAGGGGTGTCAAACTCACGGCGGCGTCATGCGACATATCAGGACATTTAACCCCTTCGCTAAACTGGACGTGGCCATCGCGTGACGTATGCAGCCTGTAGGTCTGGAGTTTGACAGCCCTGCTTTAGAGGGTCGTTGAAACACTTGGAGGTTTAACTGTGTCCTCAGGGTCACCTGAGTAGTGCTCCTGGTTCCTGCAAAATTTCCCCCCCTGGAAATCCATTCATACTCCCACACCATTCCAAGGGTGTTCATCCCAAATTGTATAGCTAAAAGTCTGTAGAGATTCTCAGTCATCCAGGTCGTGGTGGTCCCAAGGGTGCTTTTTCAAAAGGCAACTGGACTTACTTGTTTTTCCTTTTGAAGATGTCTTCAAAGAAAAAAGTAAAACAAAACAAGAAAGTCCAGTTGCCTCCTGAAAAAGCACCTTTGGGACAACCATGACCTGGATGACTGAGAATCTCTACAGACTTTTAGATGCTTGTTAATGGTTATAATATGCAACATATTGTTACCTTTCCCCCAGTGGAATAAGTGCAGTCTAGATCAGAAAACCTTCCATCTCCAGAGTAAAATACTGCATTCCTTCCTCATACCATTAAGATTGGCCGGTATGCTGGTGGTGAGTTATTATAGGCAATTTGAGCCTTAGAACTACAAACATATGAAGGCTCCGGTTTGGTTTAAGCTAAGAGCGCACCTAATCCTATGGCAGGCTGTAGCCAATCGTTCATTTGCCTTCATTTGTGAGTAGCCAATCAATTCAGAAGCATGCAAACATGCATAAAACCAAGTAGGGTATCAATCAATCAATCATATAATAATCTCTCTCCCCTGTTGCTCCCTAGCACGCTGCATGTTATTTCAAAGACAGCAAACAGCCATCAAGGTCCCCCCAGCCCAGGCCTGTCAAACTGGCGACCCACAGGCCAAATGCGTCAAGCGCAGGCCACGCCCACCCTGGCTCCACAAAGGGGGAAAAAAGCATTGTGATATGTCATGATGTGCCATGTGACACGATCAAATTTGACACTCGTGTCCTAGCCCATTAACAGTCCAGGAAAATATTTGGTTCCCTTTTGAAATTATGTAAATTTATACAGAGCGCATTGCTAATCCCTATAAATTCTAGTATAGGTGCGTGGTGCATGAAGAGATGAATTTGCATTGGATGTGAATCTCATTGCCTCGAGTTTGAAGGGATAATCCTGACTTCCTTTGGCACCAAAGAAAAATGCATGCATTGCAACAGCTTCACTGCTAGCCATTCAGTAATCACTTTGATTCCCGTTCTCACTGATCATGCAAAGTAATCTGTTAGTCAGCACGTTTATCAGTAAGCAAATATAATCTGAACTCATGCTCTATAACAGAGGTGGGGAATTATGTCCCTTATTGTTCCTCATTCTGCTAAAGCGTGTTTTCTCTCTCTCTCTCCCTCCCTCTCCTCTCTCTCACACAAACACAGAGTTACAGCTGTTGAGCAGAATAAAGCCAACAAGTAAAATAGGTACCCATACTCTGACTTATGATTGCAATGGGTCCTACACATCACAGTTGTAAGTCGTGATGAGGTCATGACCAGGTCATAAGTAGCCCCTTCAGTAACTCTGTTGTAATTTTGAACAGTCCCTAAGTGACCTAAATTGAAATCTACTTGTATTGATGACACAATAATGCAACTATACAGTAAAGCAATTCAGACTTTCTAAACTATATTACGGAAAAGCACAGAGCAGATGTATTTATGACAACGTGGCTCTCATCAAGTCTTACAGAAATAATTAGATTTAGTTTTAAATGTTGTTATTGTTGTTAGTTGCGAAATCATGTCCAACCATTGGACAATGTTCCTCCAGGCCTTCCTGTCCTCTATCATCCCCCGGAGTCCATTTAAGCTCATGCCTACTGCTCCGGTGACTCCATCCAGCCACCTCATTCTCTGTCATCCTCTTCTTCTTTTGCCCTCAATCTTTCCCAGCATGAGGCTCTTCTCCAGTGAGTCCTTCCTTCTCATTAAGTAGCCAAAGTATTTGAGTTTCATCTTCAGGATCTGGGCTTCTAAAGAGCAGCCAGGGTTGGTCTTCTTTAGGACTGACCGGTTTGATCGCCATGCAGGCCAAGGGACTCGCAGAAGGCTTCGCCAGCACTATAGTTCAAAGGCCTCAATTCTTTGGCGCTCAGCTTTTTTAAGGCTGAGTTTTAAATAGTTTTAAATAGAAAGGCTTTTTAATAAACAGGCGTTTTAAATAGACAGGCGTTTATCAGCCCAAAATAAATTTCTTAGTACATATAAACTAATAGCAGATATATAAAGCATCATTCATCAATGGGATGCAGTGCACTAATGATGTTATCTAGTTTGTAATGAAAAGTCTGTTTGAGAACCACCAGCCTTAGAGAGCACTAAAGAATCTGCAGTTTAACCGTCAGCCTGCAAATATTCTTTATCAATATTGATATTTCTGCGCTATAATTTATGTAGTTAATACCATTTGAGGTATCTAAGTTATAGAAAGTTTATTATAGAAACGTAAGTCCTCATATGCAAAAACCATCCAGAAAGAGATGAACAAATGAAAATTCCTTAGTAGAGGTAGCTATTAAAATGAAACGCCAAGACAAGAAAGAAGAGAGATACTTACTTTATCAGTTCCAATGTTATGGTTCCCCGGGGTTCTGCTTCTACGCTCTTCCCCCAAAACTTCAATTTAGGATAAATTGAGCCATGAAAAATGAAGTCCTGGTTTAAGCCTTCAGAGTAAAATGCACTGATAGGTGGATGATGACTGACTTGTTCAGAAATTAACCTAAAACCTAAATCCTCCCTAGAAATAAGAAAAAGTGATCATTAATATTATTGAAAAGGTTCAAATTATTCTTGTGGTATAGTTGTAAACGTTTGTCTATCAATTGTAACAGCTTCTTTATCTTCTTATTTGTTTCATTCCTATATGGCCAATATCTATTATAATAACTGGCTTTGCTGAGCTGATGGTGTTACCTAGTTTGGTAATGAAATGTCTGCAAGAAAGCAACAAGCTCAGAGAGCATAAAGGACCCCACAGTTCAACCTTGATCTACAAATATTTTAATAGTAGAAATACTAAGAGCACTAATTTGTACTGGACAACTTCAAAGCTCAAAAACAGAACAAGACCCCCTTGGCTTTAGGAAAGGCAGCTTGCTACCAGTCAAAACTTGGAGGTAGGTTACTCAAGTGAGGTAGTACTCTAGGGCTCCCCCTAGAGCCGTGATGGCGAACCTATGGCACACATGACAGAAGTGGCACACAGAGCTATCTCTCCAGGCATGCGAGCTGTCGCCCGTTGCTCTTCCAGGTTCTGGCGTGCCAGCCATCTGTCTTCATGCATGCATGCACACCAGAATGCGCATGTGCACTGCCCAGCTGGTCTTGTGCATGTGCACACCAGAAACCATGCACGCCAGAAACCAGCTGGCCAGTGCGCATGCTGGAAACCGGAAGATCATCTTCCTAGTACACACATGCGCACCGGGCAGTTGCTCTTCCAGTTTCCAGCACATACACACTCCCATTTTGGCACTCGGTGCTGAAAAGGTTCGCCAACACTGCCCTAGAGAATTCTTCCAGATCTCCTTGGTTTTCACCCTTTGTAGGTCATTTCCCTTTTGCTTCTTCAGGTTCAGAACTTTTTATTTCTACCCTGATCTGCCATAAAAGCAGCGGACTGAAACTGACACAATACTTGCCTGCTGTGATACGGCCATTCCAGCTAGAAATTCTACAAGGGACGATCTCAAAAGATCTGGAAAGCATTACTATGTGTTGTGCAGGATTAGCCCATGCCATTTTGCAACAGGCAGGCATCTGGCTATAATCTTGAAATATTTATATTCACAAAATTCAAACCAGAAGCATTATTTTGGGCCAGGAGCAGAAGACATATATGGCACACTACAAAAGTGAAATTAAGACTGTAGCCTCACCTGATTAATTCATATGTTTCTCCAAGGAGAGGGTTAAATGGTTTGCCTGTTCTCTCCCATTGAGAGGCAACAGCAGATACCGCAAAAGCAGCAACAATCTGCAAGATACATTAGGGGTAAGAGTTTCTCCCACAGAACGGAAAATGACACAAATCACATTAATTAATTATTAATATAACAACACAATTAAACATCATTGTTAATTTTCAAATGCTCTTATCCAGATTCCCACACAGAAACATGTTGTGAGAGTGACCGCACACTGGAAATATTAATAACACACTGTGGGTGCACTTAAGTGTTACGTGGTAGGTGCACTCACAAAATGATTGCTGGCGGTAGAGTCCCTTCATTCATAAAAAGGCTGATTTCGGCAGATTCCTACTGTCACTTTTTCTAGAATAGTTCCTCCCTGAATGTCCTCCACTATTCCAATTTTCTTGTTGTTAATTGAGAAGCCGTGTCTAACCCATCACGACCCCATGGACAGCATTCCTCCAAGCCTTCCTGTCCTCTACCATCCTCTGGAGTCCATTGAAGCTCCCGCCAACTGCTTCGCTGA